GGCAAGCTGTGATGCTTGCTGAGAGACTGGCAATTAATTGTGGAATTGGGAGGATGGTTGGATCCCCAACATGATGGAAAACGAACAGAGTGTATGGGTTTGTTGATGAACGTGGAGTAGGAGAGCAAAAAAATAATTAAATATAAGTATAATGGATTTCAGCTAATTTTTTGTAGTTTTAGTAGAGATGGGGTTTCACCATGTTAGCCAAGGTGGTCTTGATCTCCTGACCTCGTGATCTGCTCGCCTCGGCCTCCCATAGTGCGGGGATTACAGGCGTGAGTCACTGCACCCGGCCTCACACTTTACTTTCTTAATAAACTTGCCTTTGCTTTTGCACTGGAGACTCGCCCTGAATTCGTTCTTGCACAGGATTCAAGAACGCTCTCTTGGGGTCTGGATTGGGACCCCTTTCTGGTAACAAAGGCAGGCGTCCTGGGAATGGACCGTCCAATCTGACAGCTTGGCCACCACTGCAGACTTGCCTGAAGCTATTCGGTGGGCAGGAGCCACAGAAGCTTGACTAGAGGGGGCTCAGGGAGACCAGGATGCAGGCTGGAGACAGGGAATGGAGCCAACTTTTAGAAATGTTGTTTGCTTTTCTCTAATGAGAAAAGATATGATGACAAGCAGGAGATGACCAGACACATGCTAGTCCAAGATGCCTGACAGGTTTAGTAAGTAAAATGTCAATATGGGTATTTCTATGAATTAATACCAACTTAATGTTTAATCTGAAAGTATTTTAAATATCTTGGATTTCTTCTTTCTCATGGGTCAACTTGATCCTTTTATTTTTGTTCCTTTTATTAAATTTCTCTCAGGGAAATTTATCAGGATAGTATAAAGTTAATTTCAAAAATATTGCATTCATGATTTTTTGTCGCTTGAATATAAAACTTTTCTGTGACCTTTACAAAGCATTTAAAACCTAGGAGAGGTTATCAAAGTAGATATCTCTTTTTTTTCCCCCCCTTTTTCCCTCTCGTTACTTGGCCGGAATCTATTATAGTAAAGGCCCTACATTAGCAAAGAAGCCAGGGGAGGTAAAATATTGTCTCCGTGTGTTCTATGTATATGTGATATTATGTGATTGTTTGTGCCCATGAGCTTTTTGGACTTAAAGAAAGGACATAGTCTTTTTTTTTTTTTTTTGAGGGCGGAGTCCCGCTCTGTCGCAGGGTTGGGAGTGCAGTGCGCGATCTCGGCTCACTGCAGGCTCCGCCTCCGGGTTTTCCCGCCATCTCCTGGCCTTCAGGCTCCAAGGGTAGGCTTGGGGATACACGGCGCCGCCAACACGCCCGGCTAGGTTTTTTTTGTATTTTTAGTAGAGGACGGGTTTCATTGGTGTTAGCCAGGATCGGTCTCGATCTCGTGATCCTCGTTGATTCCGCCCGCTCGGCCTTCCCACAAAGTGCCTGGATTAACAGGGGCTGAGGCCAACAAGCGCCACGCCGCAGGACATAGTCTTAATGATTTTCAAAGTTGCTTTTGTCCCTAGAATTCTCTATAGTACTAAATAAACTGGTTGCTTTATTCCAATACTTAACATATTCTTCTACAAAACAGCTGGAAAACATAAAGCGTCAATGTGATGTCTGATGGTCCAAGATGGCCATTTCTGAAAAGCAGGTGAGAAATAGAAGATACATTTTCCAGGCCTAGGTCTACAGACAATTTTGAGGGGGTGAGTGACAAAGCATCACACAGTTCTCTATCATTTCACGGCTCTGATGCGATGCAGAACACAAATGAACTCCTTGTCACGGACTTTCCACTGCCATAACCCAGGTTGAGCAATGCAGGTGCATCGTCAGCAGTGGACAACTTACAGACACTGCCTTTGGCAAAACTGAGGACGCTTAACTGCAAATCACAGCCATGTGACAAGTAATGGTGCTGATTATTTTAAAGGGCTACTGGAATCTCAAATACAGTTAAGCTTTTGTTAAAAACACAAAACTAGTCACATTCTGTGGGAAGGCTCAGGAAGCAAGTTATTTAGTAGCAGAATTTATTGGCCACAAAAAGCAAAGTCAAGCAGTTGGTGCAAACTTAGTGATGCAGCAATAAAATTATAGTGAATGCATAGTGGGAAATGCTAGGACACAGTGCACTGGGAGAAACTGGAAGGGTTTTGCTCCTAAACCAAATAATTAGTCAACATATTGATGATGTCACATGTCACTGAGCAAGATTTCTGTAATAAACCAAAATGCAGCTTCTCCATCAAGTTGACATTTAACAGCCCTTGTTAACAAATGTAAATAGCAGTAAAATTCAAGAAAATACATTTTGCTGTGCACAAGTGTCTCAATTAAGCAAAGGCCATCATATATTCAACAGTTTGTCTTCATATCTGGAAAAAAACCCACTTCATCTTAGAGAAACTGTGTAAGCGCCTATGCAGATCGTACCCTCAATGGCTGGCCACCCACATGCGTTTTTCCTGTGTAAGCGCCTATGCAGATCGTACCTTCAATGGCTGGCCACCCACGTGCATTTTTCCTCTGTTCTTAAAGAAAACAAATCCCAGCACTTTGGGAGGCCAAGGTGGGGGGATCATGAAGTCAGGCGATGGAGACCGTTTTGGCAAACATGATGAAACCCCGTCTCTACTAAAAATACAAAAATTAGCTGGGTGTGGTGGCAGGTGCCTGTAATCCTAGCTACTCATGAGGCTGAGGCAGGAGAATCACTTGAACCAGGGAGTCGGAGGTTGTGGTGAGCCAAGATCCTGCCACTGCACTCCAGCTTTGGCAACAGAGCAGGACTCCATCAAAAAAAAAAAAAAAAATCCTGATGCTGTCACAATACATTGTTCTCACAGTACAGAGCTATTGTCAAAAGTTTGGAACAATACTGCAAAAATGATTGACATTATGAAACAAAAACAAATATACTCAAGAATGGGTACAGATTGTATAAAGAGCTGAACAAATCTTCAGTCAATATAGGAATTACTGAAGATGAAAAGGAGCTGCAGAAAACAGCCCGCACAGTTGTGTTTCATCACATGAACTTTTCGAACAGGATTCTGCAGCTCCCTGAAGAACAGCATTGACGTCCAGTGATGTTATTACTGAAAGGAAACCGAAGGGGAAATGTTGGAAAAACGATGTTGCAAGGGAAACTGAAAATGCTTCCACTGCTGCTGGGTTTAGAGGCAGGGAGGATATCAGAGGTCTTGAGGTGTTTTGAAAACCTCCTGGAGGAAGGGAAGAGCAAAACTGAACAGCATCTCCTCTCCTGTCCACAGATGTGGGGCTGGTCAGGGCCCCTTCGCTGAATCTGCTGTTTAGCCAGAGACCTGACTTTGACAGCAGGACCAATAATGTGGGCTGCAGGCTGGCCAACCCTCGTGCTGCCGTTCACACTGGGCTTGACAAAGATGAATACCTTGCCTTACACAAGAAAACAGGGCCACATGGCTTTGATTTTGGCCTTAAATATGTGAGCAAGCCTCTTCTTGTGTTATGAGCACCAAGAAAAAGGACAGAAACTCGCACTTGAGAAGAAAGTGGAATGAAGGTGTGCTTATTTCAGTTTCTAAGTGAGAATGTAAAATTTGTATGGTCAAAAAATATCAGAACCGTTTAGTTTCCACAGTGAGGAGGTAAAATGGATTCAGTTTTTAAAGCACTACCTCTTATGCATATACAGATGTATAAAGAGATCAATAGGTCAACAATTGTCCATGATATTTTCCAACTTCTGAGCATATATTTATACTTGATCATGTCACTCAAATAAGAAAATATTTTTCCAAAGTCTCATACAAAATTGTGTTTTAGACTTTATTTTTATTTACATTGCTTTACTATTTACATAGTAACTTTACTATTTGGTATTGTTAATAAGGTGGGCTTGTAAGTAATATTAACTTAAATATATGTACAACCTTTCTTTGTAGTTAAATCTACTGAGCCTACCTATATGAAAAATAATAGATCTTATTTTGACTTGAGCTAGTTATCTAATAGAAAAGTGTTGTGTGTTTCTTGTTGTTAAGATTTATGAAAAAAAAGAAAATGACTAAAGACATGCAAATAAAGTGTTTTTAAATGAAATTTTGCTAGGTCATTTTTTAAAATGTCATTTTAAGAACAAAAAGGACTCTTAAAAATACTGCATGCACCGTGCCATATCTTGGTGTCATAAAGTAGAAATTTGCGATAGAACTTCAACCTATTTGGATATGACAAAGAAAAAAATAACTGAAAGAAAGGAAAGGAGTTTATAACCTTCCTGGAGAGGGGTAACCATTCCCTGAAAGTAGGACAGTATTTTGGCCAAAATAAATAGGTCCACAAAGAAAATATTCTGTGCTCAAAAGAGCATTGATCATTATTGCCGTAAGACTATGTTGGTACATGTAACAATGTTATGCGGAGTTCCTGCAAACCCAGGATTCCTTCACCTTCCTCAAGCCACAAGGGCTGATGGAACCATCTCAGTGCCCAGCTCTGCTCTTCCTCACTCCTTGTAGCCCTTATCTATTTTAAAATGCTGATTTAAGGTTTTTATTTCCATAGGTAATTGGGGAACAGGTGGTATTTGATTACATAAGTGAGTTCTTTAGCTGTGGTTTGTGAGATTTTGGTGCACCCATCACCCAAGCAGTATACCCTTCACCCAGTTTGTAGTCTTCTATCCCTCAACTCCTTCCCACCCTTTCTGCCTGACTCCCCAAGGTGTATTGTGCCATTCTTACACCTGTGCACCCTCATAGCTTAGCTCCTGCTTATGAGTGAGAACACACAATGTTTGGTTTTCCATTCCTGAGTTACTTCACTTAGAATAATAGTCTCCATTCTCATCCAGGTTGCCATGAATGCCATTAATTCATTCCTCTTTATGGCCGAGTAGTATTCCATCATACACACACACACACACACACACACACACACACACCACGGTTTCTTTTTCTACTCTTTGATTGATGGGAATTTGGGTTGTTTCTAAAGAGCGAGCCTGGCCAAGTTGTTTTCCTGCTTAACCATCTTCTCAGTTTTCGAAGCCCTTTCGGAGCAAAGCCACCCTTGCTAGGAGGGCAGGCAGGGTGCTCCCTGGACTGGGTCCCGCTCCCCACCCCGAGTCCACCTTCTCCCCTTCTCACCCTGGTCGTCACACACACTAGGCTCTCGCGTGTTCCTGTGCTTGTCCTGTCTAGACTCTGCTCTTGCAGATACCCCTCCCCATATGCCTGGGGTTCCTCACACTCTATCCTCTGTTTCAAGGAAGACCTGCTCCTTGAAGCCATCCCTGATATCAGCCCCACTTCCCTCTGCAGAAGCCTCCACCACAGAGCCACGCATTGCCACGCAGACGCCTCCACCCCAGAGCCACGCATTGCCACGCAGACGCCTCCACCCCAGAGCCACGCATTGCCACGCAGACGCCCGCACAGAGCCACGCATTGCCACGCAGATGCCTCCACCACAGAGCCACACATTGCCACGCAGACGCCCGCACAGAGCCACGCATTGCCACGCAGATGCCTCCACCACAGAGCCACGCATTGCCACGCAGACGCCCGCACAGAGCCACGCATTGCCACGCAGATGCCTCCACCACAGAGCCACGCATTGCCACGCAGACGCCTGCACAGAGCCACGCATTGCCACGCAGACGCCTCCACCACAGAGCCACGCATTGCCACGCAGACGCCCGCACAGAGCCACGCATTGCCACGCAGATGCCTCCACCACAGAGCCACACATTGCCACGCAGACGCCCGCTTCGGTGTTTGCTTTGCTTCTAGTTTGGGTGTCTGCAAACTGCAGCTCATGGTCCACATCCAATCTGTGCCTGCTTTCTTGGTAAGGCCTCATAAGAATGATTTCTATGTTCTGAAAGGGTTGTGGAGACCACAAAAGGGAAGTGTGCCAGTGACTGTGTGTCCTGCAAAACCTAAACCATTTATTATCTTGACCTTTACAGAGAAGCTCGCCAGCTCCTGTTCTAGGCCAAGTGGTCTCAGATGGGCAGATCTAGGCCCTATTCTACACTGGCCTGAAGATGGGAGGCTGTGGTTTGAATGTTTATGGCCTTTGAGGCTCACAGGGAAACTCAGACCCTGATGCGGCAGCATTGGGAGAGGGACCATTAAGAAAAGGTTGGGTCGTGAGGTCTCTCCTTTCTTGGATGGATAAATTCATTCATGGATGAATGGATTAATGCATTAATTTGTTAACGAATTACTGGATTATTGTGAGAGTGAGGTTTTTTAAAAAGAGGAGGAGAAATCTCAGCTAACATGATGGGAGAAATCTAGGAGAAATCTAGCTAGCCCCCTTCACCACTGGATACCCTGTGATGCCTTGGGCCTCTACAGAAAGTCCCCACCAGCAAGAAGGCCATCCTCAGATACAGTCCCCTGTCTCTGAGCTTTTCAGCCTCCGTAACTGTAAGTAATGCATTCCCTTTCTCTATAAACCACCCAATTTCGGGTATTCTGTTACAAGCAACAGACAGTGGACTAAGATACGGTCCAAGTGTAACAAATGTAGTTTGAACAAATCAATAAGTCAACAAGTAGATTTCTTGAATGAAAAATCAGGCAATGGAAATAATTAGATATCTTGGATCCAGACATAAAGAGTTAATATATGTGTTGCTAATGTTTTAGTGCTCACCTTTTTACATTTAACTCTGATTTTTCTGTTTCAGATTGAAAATCGTTCTAAGTAAAAGGCGAGAAAGAAGAAAGCAAAGCACAGAGCCGATAAAAAAGGGTCCCATTGGGATCACCTATGTACGCAGCCCCAAAATCTAGGAGCCAGCCTTCACCTTTTGATTCCGATTCTCCCGTATTTAGCCCATCAGCAGGTATTCTAATGTCTCTTCCTTTAGAAGACATCCTATGTCTCACCGCTTATCACCAGGCCACCATTGCTGCCCTGTCCTGTTTTCTCCAATAATTCCTGCCTTTTTGGTGTTTCTTGGACACAGCAAACTCATTCCTACTCCAGGGCCTTGACCCCACCTGGACCAATCGTCCCCCTTCCCCATCTTCACAACCTCCAAGGCATGGCTCAGCAGATAGCCCTCAATATAATCTTTTAGAAGTTTTTTAATTGACACATAGTGGCTTGCATATTGAAGGGGTGCACAGTGATGTTTCCATACATATAAGGTATAGTGATTAGATCAGGGTGATTAGCACATCCAGCATCTCAAACGCTTACCTTGTGGGTGCGTCATCCCTAAGTTCCTTTCTCTGACCTCATCAGTCTCCACCCCTTCGCTCAGTGCTGTTTCCTTATTTACTGGTTTGCTTTCCTTAGCCGCTATGACACCTGAAATCTTGCTATTTGCTTGCTTGCCTGTTTTCCACTTTGCGCCTCCTTGAAAAGAAGCTTCATGGCCAACCAGGCTTGCACCACATGTTTCTATAACCTTCGTGGTTATATTCACAGATAGGCACGTCGTGAATACTTGCTGGACGGAAGAGTAAATATGTGGGTAAATAGGGTGTATGCAATATGCATTCCTATGTGGCCAATCTCTGCTTCCACTTGAAAACAGGAGTATGGCATCATGCAAATGTGTCTCTGCTTTCCTCTCATCGGACGACTAACCACTTCTTAACTTGAAATGAACACAGTCAGACCCCTTTCTGAAAACTCTCCAGCTATGCATTAGTCTGGATCAGCCTAAATCTAATGGTAATTGCCACTCTCACCATGCTGTGAGAGCTGATGGCAGGACAGGGCAGCAGTTAAGAGGGTAGACTTGACCTCTTTGTGATTCAGTTTTCTTATCTTTAAAAAAGAAACACTAATGTAGCCAATGGCATAGGGCATTCAAAGATTCAGTGAGATCATGAACATAATTACTTAAAGTTTCTGAAGCATGTGAATTTATCGAGAAATATTAACTAATATCTTGTGGCATTTTTTTCTGTATTATAGTACTGTCATATTCAAACTCTATTCTTGAAACATTTCAAAATTTCAATCAATGAGTGAATGTTTTGAAAGCCAATATACACTTTAGAATTTGTGAGTCATTGGTTTGAAGCCTAAGAGTAGATGCAGGGGGTAAGTGCTTTAGGTTGCGGTAAACTGGAATTAACTAATCTGCACACTGAGAACTAAGGAGAAAAGAACATATTTTACCAAATACGGAACTTTTACTGTGAATGTTTGATAAGACCCTTTACGTCCCTAACCACTGCTTCTATATTGGTAAAGCTCTCTTTTCAGAATTGTCTTTTAGTAAAGATATATATATATATATATATATATATATATGGTGTGTGTGTATGTATATATATACACACACACTATATATATCTTTAAACGTTTGCTTTAAACATATATCTTTACTATTTATTTATATTTATTACATGTACTAAATATTACATGTAATAAATAAATAAAAAACATTTATGACATGTAATAAAGACATGACGGAGGATAAAGAGTCATTGTAGTCTGTTATATCACTTGTATGCTAAAGTCCATGACAAGCTTCGATAATATAATGTTCTCTGTAATGTGATCACGCTGAGTGTGACATGTGGTACCTGTGTCAGCTCAGACGTGGCTTTAGCTACTGAAAGATGAGGCTGCCACTGTGGGAGCTGAGGACTGATTGGGATCCCACAGGGGCAGAAACATAGGAACTCCAGAAGTTTTGTAGAAAATGTTTAAAAAATAGAGATTTTGCAGACGCGTGTTCTGTATTGTGACAACAAATGGTAAAATTCTTAGAACGATGAGAGGGAAAAAATCTTTACATGGAGGCACTTTGAATTCATCCTAACCTCTAAGAGAGAGAGATGAGATTTTCCACACAAAAAGAGTACTATCTGTGGAAAAGACAACATTCTGATTTAGAAGAAAGGGCTGAAGGAATTACAAAAAAGTGTATCGACACAGAAAGCTTGAAAATTAATCTAAATATGCATCATCCACGTGGCTTGAAAAAATAAGGTCAGCTTATTCTCTTTACTTTTGCATATTTATAAATTAAAGAAAACTAAATCTCCATGATATTTTGTAGGTATTACATGCTAAAATAAATAGTTCCTAAAAATGTGTGTATTTTTAAAAGGTATTGTTGTTAGGCAGTTATAAAGAGTCTTCTGACCTGTGATAACTGCCTTTGTATCTCAGAAAACATTGCTAAGGAGACTCAAAAGCTTTTCTGAATTGGGTTAGCCAAGATAAACACAAAGTGGGGGACATTGTGGTTATGGAAATATAAGGCATTTTAAGGAATTAAGAGGACTCAAATGTAATGCGTATTCGACAGAGATCCTTTCTATTGCAACAGTATTTACATCAACAGTTTGTTCACATACTCCACTTGGGTCTGAAGTTTTAGACTATGAAATGATCTACATAAAGTGTGCTTTTAGTTTATATGAATTTTATGGACACAACAACAGTTCTGCTTTTTAATACAGAAGAATAAGAACCATTTTCATTAATTTTAAAATTATAATTTATAATTTATATTCTTTTAAATTGTTATAAAAGATTTACTTAATACAAAAGTACATTATTCCACTTTCTTGATAATTAATGGAGATAGGAAATCTGTTATAATTTTCGAGAAAACACAGAAGAGGATTTATATTTCAGAAGTAGTCCACCACATATTTAGACCTGTCACTTACTGTCTGTCAATTACTGGTAATTTTGCAGAAGAATACTGAAGAGTTGAATATATTCAAGCAATAAAATATTATTCTTAAAACCAATCAACCAACCAACTAAAAAAGAAATTGTGGACAAGAAAAAAAAAAAGAAAAGAAAAGACCTACTCTGAATATCTTTCATTGGTTTCAGGCTGTGCTAAATGCAGTGTGATATTACTTTATGGATTTATGAGAAGATACATAAGGTAGGCTTTCACTAATGTAGCCGTAGTTCAGACCTCCAGGCACACCATCAGCACACACTTGGTGAATGGAGATATGCGAGCCAATTTCAGGAATTTTTATAATAATTTGAGAGCTCATTAACTGCCTTTTTAGATAAATTGTTTTGTGAAACAGACAGTGTGTGACAGGCTGAGCTGATTCATGATCTAATCCTATATCTACTCAGTTCCTCAGTTTCTTCCCTATTATGAGAAAAATTTGGAAGAGATATTCATAAGAGAACTGCCTCAAATCAACCATACTGTAAAAGCAGGATTGCTGCTGTGCCACAGACTTGGAATATCCAACAATTACAGCTCTAACTGTATCAGAACATTAACCATAATTATGATGGCCCTCACAGCATTGCTAACGATAGTAAAATCTTGAAAACAACTTGACTATTTGTTAACTTCGGGTAGGGAAACCAATTTTAGTATGTCCACAGTTACAAGTGTTCTGAAGACATTAAAATAGGTGAAGTAGACATATAAATTAATAGATCTAGAGTGATGTTTACGTTTTATTAAGTGAAAAATAGGCAAATAGTTTCACAGAATAATATTTATGATATTTGTGTCGCTCTTGGAAAGGATTAAAAACACATATGCCACACACATACATGTGCATATCGACAATAGTTATATTTAAATGGTCATCTAAAAGCAGACTTCTACGTAATGGGGCAAAGTAGAATTTAATTTGTACATTAGGTGATGGAATTACGGGTGAAATTTGCTTTCTATAGGATTGATTTTGTTTTTCAAAAAAATTAAACATTATAGTTTTGAAAGATGGGATGTGGATGTATGCTCATAGCTTACATTATACGTTCTTCATGACTGTATTTAATGCATGTCTAAGCTCATGCTTTTTATATAAGTGAAAAATATACAAAAAGAAGGTAGACAAGAAGAAGTTTTTATGGCTCTAGCCACTTAAGGTAAAACATATTTTATTTTTCTTTATAAGAACAGTGAAAAGACAAGCTGATGAGAAAACACATTTGGAAGTGGTAGGAAATATCTTAAATGGGATAGACTAGTTCAACATGAAGTCAGAAGAGTGAGAAATAACTACGGAAGACATGCCGGCTGGTGAGGGCTGTGAACGAAGTTGGGATTGAGGAGGAAGACAAGGAAGCCCCCCTCCTGGGGTCTGGGGAGAGCCTGGAGCAAGCCTGGAGCTGAGGGAGCAGAGAACAAGGTCACAGACACCCCACACTGAGGGGAAGGGAGGGTGGAAGGGAAGTAAGGCCATAGAAGTGTGGAATTGAGATAATTGGTACCCCCAGCTCCTGCTCTGTCGGAAACCATGAAGAAGCTACGGTGCCCCTAACAAGGCACAGTGTGGCCAGGCCAAAGATGATCTGAGCAGGTGGGAGAAACAGCCCATGAACAGCAGCACCTTAGTTTTCTTGAGCTTGTTAGAGTTTTTTTCTCGGCCTGGCTTTGTTAATTAGAATGTTGAGAGCTTCAGAACTTCTACAGAAGGTCAATATTTCAGAGAGTGGGAGGGAGTAAATCTACAAAGTGAGCAGAAGAGATTTCAACAGGGTGTCAAGCGAGCTGGATCTGGGCAGGCCAAGAGTGCTATGCGAACAGCCAGCAGGCAGGGAGTCCCCTGCAGTGGTGACAGCATCAGTGGAACTTAACAGTAACCTGGCAAGCAGGTAGACAGGGCAAGTGGGTCAGGGGTGTTAAAGAGAAACCCAGACACCTGGGCTCTTGTCAGAAGCGGGAAACACCACATAGGCTGAGGAGGAAGGGAAGAAGACTGTGTGAGGAGTCCACCGCCAGGGAAGGCTAAGGAGACTGGAGAGCCCTTGGCAGGTGCAGTGGTAGGACCCTTGACAGGCAAACCCTGGCAGGCGTCATTAAATTATGAGCAAAACCTAGGCCAGAAAACAAGCAGAACAGGGAGAAATGTGTCTGGGAGGTGGAGGGAAAGATGGATGGGAGCTTTTGTGAGCAGTACTGAGGCTCACAGAGGTTTCATTCTGTTCTTGGGACACGATCAGGGTATTTCTGGTGTGGTCATTGATGACCACAGTCTGAACGCTGTAAGGATTTAGCCAAATCATCCCACCTGCTCTTCCTGATGAGGGCTGGTGGGGGCAGGTGGCCCTGGCAGGTCAGAAGGTGGAGGTGAAGTGGGATATCAACAGGTTTAAATTCCACGCAGTGAGCCCCATTTTCAAAAATTTCACAACTGGATGAACATACACACTTGTTTCACTGAAACTTTTGTATAACTTTATTTCATTTTCTTTAATTCGACAGGACAAACTTATTTTACATATAAATTTAAAGTAAATATGGAGGTACATGTACACTGGCATCTGATAACTTTTAATTTAAATGTGAGGGTGCATAAAATAAAATATGTGCCTATCGTAATTTGAGTTTTCTGTTCATTTCCCATTCATTTAATTCTGTATCTATAATTTTAGATAGATAGGTAGATAGATGTATGTTTATAGAGAAAATCTTCGGTACCAAATGTTTTTCTATGAAATATGCATAGTGGAGCATTTTCATCATACTGTTTAGGGTTCTAGAAGTCAGTCAAATGTGATATTAAAACAGCTCCCATAAAGCAAATATTTGAATAGATCTTGTTCTCCCGATTTTAAATGACAGAATATTAAAACTGGTGATTTAATCCCATGCAAGGACAGAACAAATAGAATATAGAGGAATTTGACATTAACTTTTTTCACTCTAGATATTCTTAAATATGTATTATCCCATATTCCACTTACTACATAAGACTCCTCACAAAACCCAGTAGCACAAAACAGAGGACCTATTCAACATCATCAATTTCCTAAGTGGATTTTATAAACACGTAACACTTAATTATGAAGACTTTTGTTTGTTATGGTAAAATTTAGGAGTGATCCTGGGGGTTGTGATAATTTGTTCAGTCCTTAAGCCAAAATTACCAAACAAAACACAAACTTATTTTTCACACACACATTCTCATTCTCTCTCTCTCTCTCTTTCAGAAATGGAAAAGTTCAATATCACTGTATTATTTAGGGCTGGCACAAAATAATAACCCACAGTAGTGGGTGCTGCCTGTGCCACCTGTTAATGAGGATAATGGTAATTGCATCTCTCTACTGTAAGCACCTTTAAACGAAAGGTGTGACTTAACATTTAACTTCTCCTCTCTCAAAGCTTTATTAGATTTCAAGCCTAGCTGCTCAGCCTCTGATCATAGAAAGACTGCCAAAAGAGTCGACCTTGGTGGACACCCCTCTCCCTTCACTGCCACAGGGCTTACCCCCATGGACAGATCTTAGCACTCTTCACACTTCACAGGAAAGCCACAAAAACAATCAGCAGGTCATAAATGCAGTTTTCAAATACACACGTAAAGTCTCACTTAGAGAACTGCTAAGTGAAGCAGAACACAGCACCCAGTCCTTTGCGGTATCCTCTTTGTAATCTGCACATTGGTGGAAACTGCAGGGCAACGGCACCGTCAAAAACACCAAATGGCAAGTGCAATGGAACACAATCCGGCGGCCAACTGCGTGCCAGATATTACCGACGACTGAGCTTCACTGCGACAAACATATTTTGTGTGTTACATTCAGAACACATTTCTATGAAAATAATGTTTTGTTTCTCTGGATATGTATTAGTACAATATATTTGACTATTTTTAGGACCCAAATAATAAGTAGATTTGTGGGATTCATGGCTTGGAGATAGCTGTACATATTTGTAACAAAAGGCCTTTAATTATGGCAGACCGTCTCTCCCACTCTAGTGTGGTAAGACATGCCAAGCTTGGCCATTATTACCATCGTTTATTCATGACCATTTTTGGGTCTTCACTATTTGCCAAACACTGTGCACAAGACTGGAAATTCAAAGAGGTTTTAGACATAGGCTTCCTTGAAAAGATAATTTAAACAATATGTCTCATTATGTACCATTAAGAAACAAACAAAAACTCTTTTAAAAAGAGGCACAGTGTTTCCTTTTAGAGGTGAGCAAGTCCTGAATTGGCCCCAACAGCCTCTCACTACTTGGGGCTTTCTTTCCTTTGCCTCGAGGCCCTATCTCCTGCCTTCTGTGGAAATGCTTGGATCACGGAGATAATCATTTTACAATTCTCTCCACAGCAAAACACATCCCAGCTACCTCTACCTGTGGATACTTTCCTCTTAGTCCCCTAGTAGGTGACACAGGTTTTGGTTTTCCTGGGACAGATACAGTCTTTGGTTGTTTCTAGGTTGATTATTTATAGCATTATCACCCTTTACTCCAAAAGTAACTTAAGGGTAATAATGCCATTGGTTCAGCATTTGGATCAGATAACAAATTATACGGCCAACTGCCTAAATAGTTTGTTGCTTTGCAAGAACATTGTGGAATATGTGCTATTACTCCAATGATAAATGGTGCCTCAATAGCACCCCGTGTCCACTCCTCCAATGATGAATGGTGCCTCACTAGTACCCCATGTTCACTCCTCCAATGATGAATAGTACCTCAGTAGCACCCCGTGTCCACTCCTCTGATGATGAATGCCTCAATAGCACCCCATGTCTACTCCTCCAATGATGAATGGTGCCTCAGTAGTACCCTGTGTCAACTCCTCTGATGATGAATGATGCCTCAATAGCACCCCATGTCTACTCCTCCAATGACGAATGGTGACTCACGAGTACCCCGTGTTCACTCCTCCAATGATGAACGGTGCCTCAGGAGCACCCCGTGTCCACTCCTCCAATGATGAATGGTGCCTCACTAGTACCCCGTGTCCACTCCTCCAATGATGAATGGTGCTTCAGTAGTACCCCGACCTCCGTGTCCACCTCCTCCAATCGACGAATGGTGGCCTCACTAGCTACCCGCCCGTGTCCCACTCCTAAATGAACAATGGTGGCCTCACATAGCACCCGTGGTCACTCCTCTAATGCGAATGGGCCTTCACTAGCACCCCGTGTCATCTCCTCCAAATGATAATGGTCCCTTCATAGCCACCCCGTGTCCCACTCCTCTAATGACGAATGGTGCTACCTAGCACCCCGGTCCACTCCTCTAATGACGAATGGTCCCTCACAGGCACCCGGTGTCCTCCTCCAATGACGATTGCCTCACTACAACCCACGTTCCCACTCCTCCAATG